CGTATGAGGGACCCCTCGGCATTTGGGTCCACGGGGTTCCTCCACCGAAAGATTCTGCGGTCCCCTTCCTCCTCCGTTCAGGTGAGTAAATCCTTGGCAAATTGTTTGCATATTTTTAATTTTATCTTGTCTTATTCATTATACAAAGCCTTTTACTTACTTCAATCAGATAAATCCAGTCCAGTAAATCGAGGGGATGATGCTCAAGCAAAAATCTGGAGGTTGTGTGACTTCTTCACCTGAGGGCAGGCCTTGTATACAAATGTAGGACCCAATAGCATTTAGAAACCAAACAACATGACCCAATGAGTATGTTAAATAGATCCATTTCATCTGAAGCAGGTGTGCAGAAGCTGAAACATTGCAAAGAAGAGCAGTGTTTGACATGCTGCCTTTGGGGGAGACTCAGGCTGAGCCCACTGTGACCAGCAGGGGGCAGCAGAGCTCAGATTAAACAGGCCGGCCTCCCTTTGAGGATTTGAATAGATGGAGAGATCCTGAATGGAATTATTCAGGATCTTTTTCTTTTGGAGATGATGACACAAGCCTTTAAAACCTGAAAACATGGAGACTTATAGTCAGATAGAAGCAGCTGCAATGATGAGAACCTTCTGAGTAAAAAGTGGAAGGATTTATTCTCTTTGGGCTTAAATGAAAAGTTCAGCTGTGCCAGCAGGAGCTCAGATACACAAAGGCCAAAGAAGCTGAGACTCTGGGAGGAAAAGAAGGAGAAACCATCTGAGACCATCCCTCAGAGCCACACACACTCACCTGGAGGGGGAGGAGCTACGTCCAGATGGATGGTGAAGGTGGTTTCTTGAACATTTCTCTGTTTCTTTCTTGTGTCTCACTGACTCTACTCTGATATGTTCCTGTATCATTTACGGTCACATCCTTCAGAGTCAGAGACACGTCTCCATCCTTCATCTGTCTGTCCTGCAGATCCACCCGGTTCCTAAAGGTCTGACTCAAAGCGACCATCTCTGTACAAAAACACACCATCTGGCATCAGATCAGGTCTGAGCCGCTCTAAAGCTGGGATGGTTCTCTCCTCTCCAGCTCCACAGGTCATCCAGGCCTTCTGTCCAGCTTCAGCTGTTGATTTTCTGCCCTGCAGAGAGGAAATAACACAGAGCAGAGAGGTTACAGAGCTCAAAGTGGAACTCTTTACATCAACAGCAGCACCAGAGGGAGGACACCCCAAAGAACCCCCCCTCTGATCTGATCTGGACCTCAGAGGTTCTTCTGAGCCAGAGGATTCTCTTAAACCTGCCCAACTTTCAGCATCAGATGTATCTGAGGATGTACTAAGGAGGCCCTGTTCTATGTGCTAAACCCACACCGCAGCCTTCATAACGTATTTAATGGAGCAAACACACAGCTCCCACTCAGTAGAATACGTTGACTAGATATTACCATATCAATTCATTTCAAAGCTTTTTCTGAAGGCTACAATAACTGTGCAGGCCCCCATCAATGCATGATGGGAAATGAAAGCTGTGATTTCCATCCAGATCTTGTGTAGCATTTCAGAT